CATGCCGTACTCCGCCACTTGAAACCCCTCTCGTACCCCTTATAAGCCTCCTCACCTTCATCTCCCAGCTTGCTCCGCTCATCCGCGCTGTTAATCAGGGCCATGCCGTACTCCGCCACTTGAAACGGCCGCCGCAGCCGCAGCCGCCGCACCTCCCGCAGGTACTTGGCGCAGGTCTTTGGTGGGGAAGGGATGGTGGAAGGAGGGGGAGGAGGGGGGGTGAGGAGAGGGAGGCGAGGACTAAACATACAGCCGCCGCACCTCCCGCAGGTACTTGGCGGCGCAGGTCTTGGGGGGGTGAAGAGGGGGGAGGAGGAGGAACATAAGGATGAGCAACAGACACGTGGTGACGATGCCTCACGCACCAGCCGCCGCACCTCCCGCAGGTACTTGGCGCAGGTCTTGGGGGGGAAGGGGACGGAGGGGGGCAGGTAGGGGAGGAAAAGATTTTTAAGGGGCAGAAGAGGAGGAGGGGAGGCCTTAAACCGCAGCCGCCGCACCTCCCGCAGGTACTTGGCGCACGTCTTTGGGGGGAGGGGGGACGGAGGGGGTGCAGGTAGGGGAGGAAAGGATTATTAAGGGGGAGAAGAGGGGGAGGGGAGGCCTTAAACCGCAGCCGCCGCACCTCCCGCAGGTACTTGGCGCGGGACTTGGGGGTTTAGGGGGAGGAAGGAGGGAGAGCGAGGCCTAAGCACACAACCGCCGCACCTCGCGCAGGTACTTGGCGCAGGTCTTATGGGCGTGGGGGGATGGAAGGGGGGGAAACGGGAAGGGGGTGGGGAGAGGGGGTGGGGTGGAAAGGGGTGGCGGAGTGACTGAGGATGCGCAGCGCAACAGTCAGGAGGCGGAGAGGCCTCGAGCAAGCAGCCGCCGCACCTCGCGCGGGTGCTGGGCGCATGTGGGTGCTGGGCGCATGTGGGTGCTGGGCGCATGTGGGTGCTGGGCGCATGTGGGTGCTGGGCGCATGTGGGTGCTGGGCGCATGTGGGTGCTGGGCGCATGTGGGTGCTGGGCGCATGTGGGTGCTGGGCGCATGTGGGTGCTGGGCGCATGTGGGTGCTGGGCGCATGTGGGTGCGGGACCTAGCGGAGAGGGGTGGCGGAGTGATTGAGGATGCGCAGCGCAACAGTCAGGAGGCGGAGAGGCCTCGAGTAAGCAGCCGCCGCACCTCGCGCGGGTGCTGGGCGCATGCGGAAGGCGGTTGAGGGGGAAGGGTGGGGGGGATGTGCGGGAGGGAGACGGGCAGCACGACGACAGCTGCCGCCGCGCCTCGCGCCGGTGCTGGGCGCATGCGGGAGGGACAGGAGGTGCGGGAGGGCGGGAGGAGAAGAGGCGCGAGGAGACGAGGCGCGAGGAGACGAGGCGCGAGGAGACGAGGCGCGAGGAGACGAGGCGCGAGGAGACGAGGCGCGAGGCGAATACGCGAATCCTTCGATCCGTGGGCTGCGCACCAAAAATCTCTTTCCCCCTCCCCAACCCACTCCCCCCCTCCTCCTCCCCTCCACCCCTCTTCCCCCCCTCCCCATCCCCCACCAAAAAGGCCCACAAACTAGCTCTGAATGACGCGATTCCCGACGGATTCGGCTAACAAGGCAAGTGGACGATCGCTAAGAGCGTACCTCGGGACCTCCGCCGCGTTTGCCGGCGATCGGCTTTAATTGCCTTTCCAGAGATTCTAACTCCTTGAGCTCCTTAGCCGAGATCATGGTGGTGATTGCGAGGAGTGGTGATCTATACGAGTTAATTGAGGGGAATGATCTCGTCGCGCTTCGAAGGAGGTGTATGGACACTGGCAAGTAGAGCAACCGAGTAGACCAGGCAGTGCCTGATACTCTATCGAATATAGGAACAAATCTAACTCACATAATCACAAAATGGCTACTACGTCGCGTCGCGAACAGCTTTGGAAGAAATTCGGATGTCTAAGATCCAAAAAGTGTGGGGCGGGTCACGTTCCTGGTTCGCGATTAAACGGTTCGCGATTAAACGGTTCGCGATTAAACGGTTCGCAGCGGTTGATACTCAGAATCGTCTTCAACCCGTTTCTAACGCACCGGACCACATACACGAACCAGGTTCTGTACCTAAAACCGTGAACCGTGAACAGTAAAATAAGCTATTGAATCTCGCGACATTCGCGAAAACACTTGGTTTCGTGGTTCCCACACACTGGGTGCAGCTTGGTGTGGTGCTTGCTGGAGTTCGCTTGGTTGCGGGAACAGAAACTCGAACATTGCATTTCGCCCGGTTTATCGCGTTCATGTCTGATTTCGCGAACGGTCTTCATTGACGAAATTTGTCAACGAGCCTTCGCAAATAGATACCATCACCTCGTCGAAACAAGGCATGTTCGTCAGCCTATGAGTGCTCGTTCCCTGCCCGACGCGCAAGTTCAAAATTCACCACGATCCGCAGTTTGTGACCAGGAGTGTCACGAGTTCGACCCATACCTGTAACCCCTGCAGATACACTAGGGTTAGGAACGCGGCGCTGCGACCTTTCATAGGCCCCGTTCCGCCCAGTGGTCTAGGGCAGGCAGCGTGACTGATTTCCGTGTTCGCGTTCACGCGAGACACGGGCAAGGTTCTGATCCGTTACAAGCTGCTGCGGTAAAACCCTGGCACCTAGCTGCGTCGCAGGGAGCGCCTGGTAGCGCGCGAGGAGTAACTGACGGTACGGGATAACGAGCTGGGGTCTCGATTAGTCAACTAAGTGGCGAGCTCAGTCGCGAGGTGACTCCTCCTCACTCCGAAGCCTGATCCATTACCGATTCCCTCTAAACGCGATGCGTTCTGCTGCGATCCCCCCCCCACCCACCCCCACTCCTTTCTTTTCTCACGGTAGTGACGGCAGGGATCACCCCTGTCGCGAGTGAATGCATTCGGAGTTTTCTGATACCGCTCCCTCCGATGCTTCCCCGCCAACCTTCTTTCCCTTCCTCCCCCCCCACACCACACCCCCCCCCCTCCTCCCCTCCTCCTCCCCCTTGTCCAGGCAGCATGCAGGGCGTGGAAGAACGCCAGGAGAAGCAGGAGAGCAGGGCGCGCCATTCCAAGGCCCCTCTTCGCCCTTGCATGCGATCTGTCTAGCCCGCCCGTCCCGCCCCTCTCGCCGCTCCCCTCCAGGCAGCATGCAGAGCGTGGAAGAGCTCCGGGAGAAACACAAGAGCTTGACGAGCCACCTTAAAGCCCCTCCTCGCCCGTCCATGCGATCTGTCCAGCCCTTCCCTCCCCGCCCCTCCCCCGCCCGGCCCACCAGGCAGCATGCAGGGCGTGGAAGAACGCCAGGAGAAGCACAACAAGAGCCCCGCGGGCTATCCAAAACCCCCCCTTCCCGCCGACCTTCTCTCCCCTCCCCTCTCTCCCGCGCACCCCCCCTTCCAGGCAGCATGCAGAGCGTGGAAGAACTACGGGAGAATCTGAACACGTACAGGGAGCAGCTAGAGCAGGTGAGAGCAGGTAGAGCAGGTGAGAGCAGCTAGAGCAGGTGAGAGCAGCTAGAGCAGGTGAGAGCAGCTAGAGCAGGTGAGAGCAGGTAGAGCAGGTGAGAGCAGCTAGAGCAGGTGAGAGCAGCTAGAGCAGGTGAGAGCAGCTAGAGCAGGTGAGAGCAGGTAGAGCAGGTGAGAGCAGGTAGAGCAGGTGAGAGCAGCTAGAGCAGGTGAGAGTAGGTAGAGCAGGTGAGAGCAGGTAGAGCAGGTGAGAGCAGGTAGAGCAGGTGAGAGCAGGTAGAGAAGGTGAGAGCAGGTAGAGCAGGTGAGAGCAGGTAGAGCAGGTGAGAGCAGCTAGAGCAGGTGAGAGCAGCTAGAGCAGGTGAGAGTAGGTAGAGCAGGTGAGAGCAGGTAGAGCAGGTGAGAGGGATCCACTGGTGCAGAGGAGAATGATGTAGGGTAGGAGAGAATCTGTGGGAGCAGATGCAAGGTGCCTTTTAGGCCATATATTTGTGCGCAGTCTCACCCTCTCTGCTGGGCCGTACGTCTCTTAATCATATCCTTCCGGTTTCTTCGCTTGTTGCTCTGAGGCTCTCTAGGCCAGATTTTCTCCTTGGTCATTCCAATGCGTTCAACTGCCCTTTATAACAGGTATCAGAGTTGCTTATAGAGGATCCTGACAATGACGAGTACAAGGAGATGGCCAATGGGCTCAAGGAGGTGAGATTGCTTCTTTTCTGTCACAATCAACAGAACACCCCTTCTTTCACCTTCTGCTTGTACGGCTGAGCGTTTCATCATATCAAGCGCCATTCACAACCAGCTCGCCAGGTTTCGAGGTGACTTTTGAGTCGACTCAAAAGACACCTGGCTACAGTGCCAACTATCACCTGCTGCTGCTGCATCGCCTTTCTTCACTAAACCCACTCTTGACCTTTTGCTCTCAACTCGACCTTTGAGCTCACTCCCTTACCCTTCCACGCTCTTCCAGGCCAGGTCATTTAGGCTGACACTCCACACACACTCTCCACACACACACTCCACACACACACTCCACACACACACTCCACACACACACTCCACACACACTCCACACACACACTCCACACACACACTCCACACACACACACTCCACACACACACTCCACACACACACTCCACACACACGCTCCACACACACACTCCACACACACGCTCCACACACACACTCCACACACGCCACACTCCCACACACGCACTCCACACACACGCTCCACACACACACTCCACACACACGCTCCACACACACACTCCACACACGCCACACTCCCACACACGCACTCCGCACTCACTTTATATGCTCCACTCCACGCACTCTTCATTCCACACTCAACCCATCCTCCCACCCCCGCCCGGTCATTGAGGTCGCAGAGCACTTGCTGAGTGCAGCAAGTGACACAAGAGGAGGTGCCATGCCATGCATGCTCCACTCCACACACCCCTCATTCCACCTCATTCCATCCATCCTCGCCCCCTCCTTGGCAGGTCATCGAGTCGAGCTCACAGGGGACCTGCTGAGTGCAGCAGAGCAGCAGATGCAGGAGGAACTGCCACACACACTTCACACGCCTCATTCCATATCACTCCCTCCTCCTGCTCTCTCCGCCCCTCCCCTCCGCATCCGGCAGGTCATCGAGCTAACAGAGGACCTGCTGAGTGCAGCGGAGCAGCAGACACAGGAGGAGCTGCCACCAGATGCAGCAGCAGCAGCAGCAGCAGCAGCAGGTGCTGCTGCTGCTGGCACCCCGTTCATCCCTCTGGCGTTCGTGCCCGCCACTTCTGCTGCTGTACGAGCGAGCGTGCTTTCAGTGCATCTCAACCTCCAGATGCATTTCATTCATCACCTTTTCGTGGATTACACAGAACAAATCATAGGTTTTTCAATATTCCCGCGCCTGCTCCTCCTCACCCCTCCCTCACTTATCCACGGACCACACTCGCCGCATGTCAGCATGCCCTCTCTCCCCCTTTCCCTCACCCATCCTTTTCCTTCAACTCGTTTACTTAACCAGACGTGTCAGACGTTTCATGCCTTTTGGCACCTCCTTGCAAAATAGATTCCCTCCATCCAAAATCCTTACTTATCGGCCCGTAATCCATAATCGCCCCGCTCCTACTCCCATCCAAACTTGTTGTTTTCCAGACCACTGACCCAGCTGCCCTAGCCACAGCAGCCGCAGCAGCAGCCGCCGGGGGGGCAGCAGCAGTGTCATCGCGGATTGCAGTGGGCACGTCAGTGCAGGCGGCTTGGGGTGTGACAGCCGGCACTGCTGCTGGCGGCATTCGCAGCTCCGAGTGGTGAGAGAGAGGGTTAGATGGTGGGATGTGAGTGGTTGCTGGTTAATAGTTAGCAATTTTTGCAGCGCACAGTGCAGGCGGCTTCGAGTGGTGAGCAGGGTTAATTGCACGCAGCGTGGAGCCACGGTCTTTGCATGTGGTGAGAGGGGATGGTGGTGGGTGTCTGAGAGGGGATGGTCTAAGAAGGGATGGTCTGAGAGGGGATGGTCTGTGAGGGGATGGACCGAGAGGGGATGGTTTGAGAGGGGGTTGCTTGAGAGGAGAGTAGAGTCACGGCAGCTGAGAGTCACTTCATTTCTCTCTGCAGTGATGAGCCCGTTTCTCACCCTTCGCCTCCTACAGTGAGAAAGGTACTCCCCCCAACTTACAATATGTCTGTTGAGGAGGAGGACTCGTGTAACATGTTTTATGAGGATCAGGAAGTGCCAAACGCTGAAAAAGAGTTCGCAGTGCAGGCGCACCCGTTATTTGAAGCTTCAAAGGACGATGGCTAAAAAATCAATTCGGATCTGAGCAACATCTGCAGTAGTGACGCTAACATGGTTGATCCTGAAACTTGCAGCATGAACAATGGCTTATCTGACAGCGGCTGCAGCAGCCAGAGTTTCAAGGAGGAGCCTACCACTTTCAATGTTGCCGGCAACCTTTGCAGCCGCGTCTACAAATGCAGTAGTTATTACAACAATTACGGAGCTGATTACAGCGAGACCGCAGCTCAGTAATAGTCAGCTTCGTGGTTGTTGTAATGGCAGCTGAAACTTGTAGACGCGGCTGCAAAGGCTGCTGACAACACGGGAAATGGTAGGTTCCTCCTTGGAGCTCTGGCCGCTGCAGCTGCCGTCAGACAATCACGTTAATATCATTGCTGCAGATGTTGCTCAGGCCCCAATCAATTTCATCGCTCTCTGAAGCCTCAAACAGCGGATGCGTTTGCTTTGCGAACTCTTTTTCAGCTTGTTGCACTTCTTCGTTGTCCACGAGGGGCTACGTAGTGCTTTTTACCCCTCCGTGCTGCTAGTCCTACCTCCTCTTCCTCCCTTCACTACTCCTTCCGCTCCGTCCACTCCACTTCTCTCTCCCTCCCCTGCCAGGCTTGACGGTGTGGTGGACAGTGTAACCACGGGGGGCTATGTGGTGCGTGATGCAGGCGGGCAGATGCATGAGGTACTGTTTTCATTCGCCTTTACACACGCTTGTGTGCTCACTCTTGCTCTCCCACTCTTGCACTCTCACTCCTCTTGCACTTTCACTCCTCATGCACTCCCACTCCTCATGCGCTCCCTCTCTTGTTGTCTTTTCTCAAACCTTCTCTCTCCCCTCATACCCTCTCTCAAACTGCTCTTTTTCTCTCACCTTACGTTCGCTCGCGCCCAAGACATTATGCACATCACATCTTGCTTTGTGCACTCGTGTGCACAGTGGGTTTCTTGGTTCTTTCTTCAACGTTTGAAATGACGTAACCGCTGCAGCTGTTTGGCTGACACACATGCCACTTCACAAACACACACACACACACACACACACACACACACACACACACACACACACACACCACTCGATTGAACCCCACACACCACTTTACCCACACACACCACCTCGAGACGAGAGTGAGTCGGGTGGAGGAGAGTGAGGAGGACGCGAGGCGGCGAGCACAGGAGGCACTGGCAGCCGTGGATAGGGAGGCGGATGAGACGAGGAGAGCACTCACACACCACTTCACCACCCCCCCACACAAACCCCACCACCCTCACCACCCGCCTCACCCCACCGCACACACATACCACCAACAGGTGCGAGAAACACGAGTACGGCGGGTGGAGGAGAGCGAGGAAGTGAGATCAGGAGGCATTAGAACCTGTGGAGAGAGGCGGATGAGACTCGCCCTCTCATCCCCCACACACACAGCCCATTCACTCACACACACACCCCCCACTTCCTTCACACACACGCCACCTGCAGGTGCGCGAAACAAGAGTACGGCGGGTGGAGGAGAGCGAGGAGGACCCAAGGAAGCGAGCACAAGAAGCACTGGCTGCCGTGGAGAGAGAGGCAGATGAGACGAGGAGAGCACTCATTGCTAGAAACAAGAGTACGGAGGGTGGAGGAGAGTGAAGAGGACGCAAGGAAGCGAGCACAGGAGGCATTAGCAGCCGTGGAGAGAGAGGCGGATGAGGCGAGGAGAGCACTCACACCCCCCACACAACCCCCCAACCTCACCACCTGCCTCACCCCCCCTCACACACAAACCACCAATAGGTGCGAGAAACAAGAGTACGGCGGGTGGAGGAGAGCGAAGAAGATGCAAGGAAGCGAGCACAGGAGGCGTTGGCAGCCGTGGAGAGAGAGGCAGATGAGACGAGGAGAGCACTCAAGCGGAAGATGGAGGAAGCTTCCAGGACTGAGCTGGTGAAGAAGGAGGTTCCGCAGAAGCTGAGGATCAAACCGGAGGACTCGGAGGACGTGGTGAGTGCGGTGCAGAGGGGTGGAGAGGAATGACGGGTATGTACGCCACACTGTGGGCGTGGTTCCTGGTGAGGTGATATTGCTGGTGGTTTTAGGTTCAGTTGCTACTCTCTCTTATTTCTTGTAACGTCCAATATTCTCTGTTCTCCGTACTTGAAGTGTTTCCCGTTTCCTCGCCTCCCGTCCACTGTCCTCTATCCCTTTCAAGGGTCTTCATTCCCTTCTCCCTTTTCCTTGTGCTTCCTCTGTTCTTCCCCTGTTCCTTTCCCGAGAAAGCAGAGAACAAGCTGCAAAATGATAAAAGAAATGTTTTGAGACGTCTCAAAGCAGAGAACAAGATGCAAATTCACTCGTTTCTGTCCCATCTCCTGTACCCGTATCCCTTCTCCCCGCCCTCTTCCCCCCAGAGAGCGGAGAAGAAGCGGAAGATTCACGCGTTCAAGTCGAAGCAGCGCATGGAGATGCTGGAGGTGATGACCAACAAGAAGCAGAACACGTGGCAGCAGTTCCAAACCAAGGGCATCAAGAAAAAGGTATGCTCTGCACCCACCTCTCCCTAATTTATCTCTGTACTTGCTTCTCCTTTTGAGGTGCCGCAAAAGCAGAACACGTGGCAGCAGTTCCAAACCAAGGGCATCAAGAAGAAGGTCTGCACCCACCCTCTCCCTCCCTTTCCATTGTTGTTTTTAGTGTGTCCATCTTATCGTGTCCCTCTCTCACTTCCTCTTTTACGGTAGCTTGATGATTTTTGTCCTTTCAAAGCTTTCACTCCCTCCCTTACTTTATCATTCCCCCCCTCCTTCTTTTTACCCCCTATTTTCCCCTCACTTCTCGTCACTCCTGCTCCTCAGTCTGCCATCCTGCTTGTGCATGTGCATGCATAAGTCACCTCTATGCGCTTCATCACCATCTTTCTCCCTCCGACGGTCTTCTTCGCTCTGCGCACTGGACACTTTTTCGCCATCTCTTCTCTGCTCTCCCTCATCTCACCATCTCTTCTCTGCTCTCCCTCATCTCACCGACTGCATCTCTGCTCTCCCTCATCTCATCCCACCCCCCCAGGGAGGGGTCCTAACAGGCCGCAGGAAGGAGAGCATCTTGAGGTGTCTCAAAACAGCCTGGTTATCAAGTGGCCACATCTCTCTTCTCCCCTCGCTCATTCCATCGCCCCAGGTGGACCTGCTGACTCTTGAGGCGCCTCAAAAGTGCGTTCTCTCCTCCCATCCCTTGCCATGCCGTCGTCCCAGCCCACGAGGGCTTCCTGACAGGAGGGCTTCCTGACAGGAGGGCTTCCTGAGATGCCGCAAGAAGGAGAGCAACATTTTTTAGGGGCGTCAAAAACCTGATAAGCCTCATTTCAGTTACCACATCTATGTTACCTCCCCCCCCTTCCCATCCCCTCCTCTCAGGCAGGCTTCCCGGCGTGTTGACTTTTGAGTCAACTCAAAAGTCAACCATGTCTCTCTTCTCGCCCCTCCTTGCGGTGCCTCAAAAAGTGTTCTCTCTCCTCTCCTATCCCATCCCCCCAGCGGGCCGTCCTGACAGGCTGCAAGAGGGAGAGCATCCTGAGTCTTTTCAAAGTAAGCTTGTTATCAAGTGACCACATCCGATATGCCTCATCTTAGCAACTAAATCTTCTCCTTCTCTCCCCTACCATGCCATCTCCCAAGCCAGGCTTCCTGACAGGTCGAAAAAAGGAGACTATCTTCAAATCGCCAGAGGACGTGGGCAGCAAGGTGGGGGTGACTTTTGAGGCACCTCGAAAGCATTCTCTCTCCTCCCATCCCATCCCATCCCATCCCATCCCATCCCATCCCACCCCGTCCCATCCTATCCCATCCCATCCCGTCCCATCCCGTCCCGTCCCAGGCGGGGTTTCTGACAGGCCGCAAGAAGGAGAGCATTTTCAAATCACCAGAGGATGTGGGGGGCAAGGTGGGGGTGGTGGGGAGCGGGCAGGGCATGACAGGCTTTCAGAAGAGAGACAAGAACCTCAACCTGCGCACACAGGGCCAGGCAGAGGACGAGTAGCACCACCGTACAGTATTTTTTAAGCACCTCAAGAGTATGAAATTGTTTTTTAAGCGCCTCAAAAGTACCTTAGGAATGTTGGAAACAGTGAATCTTAAGCGCTTCAGTCGTGTCTAAACATTGCACCAGAAGCGAAGCAAGCAGTATCGAAACAAACGCGAGTCAACCCTCGGAGGTTGAGAGGTTGCTGGAGGTTACGCGAAAGTCAAAGGTCAAGCGACCTTTGACCTGACAAATACAGCGCGACAGTTAAGGACACACAATTGATTCGTTACAGAGCAGTTGCCCGAGTCGTACTGTATCGAACCGCAACAGCAACAGTAAAGTAGTTACAAACTGCATCCTTTCATATTCCCTGTATTACTATATAATCTTGTACTTCCTTGCTATAATTAATCTACTTTGCCCTCACATACCAGCGCAAGGTGGTTCATAATCTTTCATTAAAGCTTCCGCTGTTACAACACTATCCTACCCAGAGTTCTCCCTTGAAAGATCCTAAGGGGCTATCTCAGCCCAACAAGGAAGTGCGTGGCAGACTTTTGTAGAAGAGACAAGAATCTCTACTGGCGCGAGCTGGGCGAGGCAGAGGACTGGTACTACACCCAGAAGCTGTACTGTACGATAATGTGTATCCACGTTACAGTGGTTATTCTGATGTACATGTACCGGTGTTCTGGATTCTGCACGTTATGGATGCAGAAGCTTTTCCAGAGCTCAAAATGTACTACGGTAGGACCTTGAGAATTTCAGAGTCTCAATATGCTGCTTCCAACTGGACGTGTAAAAGCTCTTCTTACGGTACCATGTTACCTTAGGGTAACATAACATTACGATCCTCTTTACCGTACAGTACATCGTGATTGATCCTCTTTAAGTCTCACATATGTTGATTACCCTTGGGCCTTATTTGATCATCAGGATTGGCCGCAGTAATCTACTGTGATCCTTGGGATGAAATGGGTGCAGTGCTTTGAGGAACGGGTGCAGCTCTTTATGAAATGGGTGCGGTGCTTGATAAATAGCTTGGCATGCGTCGATTGTAATAGACGGTCCACTCGAGGAGATCTTCTAGCAGCTCCTCCCACCACCACTCGGCATCGCCATGCAGGTGGATGCGGTCAGCGAAGCGAAAGCGCGAGAGCACGACGTATTGCATGTACTTCATCACGAACACGCCACAGTTACACGCGTCCGTCTGCTGTGTTGCCTGCAGCCGGGGGGGGGGAGGAAGGTGAATGCACTCAGGGTAGAGAAAGCGCGAGAGAACGAGGTACTGCATGTATTTCATCACAAACACGCCACAGTTATACGCGTCCGTCTGATGTGTTGCCTGCAGCAGGAAGGGGTGGGGCGGTGTAAAGAGGGTTTAGAGTGAGCGTTTGATGAGTAAGAAAGCAGGCTGACTGTCAATGCGAACCTTTTGGGGCCATGTGAATCCCTCACCCACCATCCATGTGAATCCCTCACCCACCATCCATGTGAATCCCTCACCCACCATACATGTGAATCCCTCACCCACTGTCCATGTGAATCCCTCACCCACCTGGACTTTGACTAAAGGCACGCGAGAAATCCAGTCGTCTGCATCTGCCTCGGACACCACGTTTGGCATCAACTCTCGCAGCTGCTGCCGCAGGTACCTGCCAGGCCAACACACGACTTGCTCCGGTGATGGGGTTTCAAACCACAGAATTGCACGCATGATAAGGCCACAGGCTCGGGGATAGGTGCTTACTCACGCAATGGTGCTTCGAAGTTTGTGTGCATGGACAAGGAGTCGGCATGTAGGATGCGGGTGGGGCGGCGTGGCAGTGTGGGCGAGCGGTCGTTGTCCAGGATGACCAAACTCCAATGATTACTGCCACAACAATGACAATGCCAATGACAATGCCAATAAGAATGACAATGACAATGACAATGCCAATGGCGATGACAATGAGACAATGAGAATGAGAATGACAATGACAATGAGTCCCACATGCGCACCGTCAGTGCAAACACAGACAACCGTGGCTGCACAACTTGTGAAATGGGTCTCACCCACCCTCCCAAGGATTTGATACCCAGCTTACTCTGCGTGCAGCGGAATGAGAACCCATTTGAACAACAGCATGTTCTCATGTGCCAGGACTGGGAAACCCTCGCCTGGGCGACGAGGCATTGAGATCAAACTGAGAGTATAAGTAGAGCAGTATAGCCACGAGAATTCCTCGTACTTGTTTACGTACTGGAGCATCCTGCGTATTACAAGGAACGAGGGCCGCATGCAAGGTCAGCACGGGCTGCAAGCATGGTTCTGATGCACAGCAAATTACAGCACTCGATGACTCAACTGTGCATCCGATGGCTCGGATGCACTGCAATCACATCAGCACTCACAGTCCGAACCACTCAATGACTTCCCCAGACACCCATCGCCGTGGCTGCAGTGTTTCTGCGTCGCGCTTAGTCAGCACGAGCCAATCGTCGTATAGGGGATGCGGCATCTCGAGTTTCGTGAACGTTTCCAACCGAGCCTCGCCAAAGAAGGGCTCGTTTTCCTCGTGCTCCATGCGCTCATCTCCCTCATGCATCTCCATGCGCTCGTCTCTCTCGGGCTCGTCCCCCTCAGGCTCCATGAGCTCGACTACCTCGGGCTCGTCTCCCTTGTGCTCCATGCGCAGCAACGGGCTTTGCTTAAGTCGCGGTGAATCGCGTCGCGTGCGTCGCGCGAGCGACGGTGACGGGCCGACACGAGAAGCGGCTGCTAAGAGGTTCGCGCTGCTTGTTCACATCGCGCAAGGCTGGAGACCGACAAGCCCGTGCTATCGGTACCAACCTCCAATGTGTGCAACACCACTTTAGCTGCGGTGAGGGTCGACTGGCGGGTGGAGAATCGAGACGCCGCCGGGATGAGGCAACCCTAATAGATGGTCTCGCGAGGATTCGTCACATCAGGGTGTGGCTAAGTTTGCAGTCGGGTTACGGACTATCCAAAACGATTCTAGTTCTGCCGAATTGATAGGCTTCCCACGACCTCCGCGCTGAAGGTAAGACCTTGCCGCTGGCTTGCTCGTGATCTTCGCTTTTCCTGAAACTTAGCGTCGCTAGTTGGCGTGCTGAGGTAGAGTGCGAGCAATCCGCAAATTTAGGACGCGGTATCTCCGCAAGATCAGTGATAAACCAATCATGCTGTGGAACGAACGATCGGCCGTGGTTCGGGGTCTGAAAAGAACGAACGGTCGCAACACAATAGGATCGTTCTGCAGGCATCACGGAGGGAAGGGGAGGGAAAATAGGAAGCTGCGCGCCTCTGCAATTTTAGGTTCGAAGGGGCGGTCAGCCCGGAAAAGCTGACGTGGCAGTCATTTCCCTTCCGAACCTAATCGAAGGGAAATGCCTGCAGAACAGTCATTTCCCCTCAGGGAAATGGACGACCAAAAAGGTGCCTATTTTCCCTCGCCACCTTCCTCCTCGGGCAAATTTGTCCGCCACCGCCCCGCCATCGGCCACCCACCCTTCACGGGGAAGTGCGACGATGACGGGAGGGAAGTACTGGGCGTGGGAACACCCTCCTCCACCCACGAAACAAGCATCCCTCCACACGAACTAACCCTACCATGGTGGCACCTCCCAAATCGAAAAAGAACAAGACTCGACGTTTACGTCGTATGGGTTGCGTAATAATTATATAGTTGTTGTATGAAGGCACGAGCAATGTTTGATATACACGTCACTAATCTTCATCCTGTTTGTAACAGGTTTATAGTTCCTCAATCCGTTCTTCGTCATGTTAGTTTTTCTTCACATTGAATGGTTGTAATGGGTAAATGTCTACATTATATTTGAAATCAATTTTTTTAGTGGTGTTTATGTGTAAATGGCACTATCGTATAGTTTTAGTGGGTTTGTTTATTTGCAGCTAACCATACGTGTCAGCTAGTTGGATTTTGTGTTTGTGCGCGTGTTGTCACGTGACATAATGATCCAATTTTTGTGTGTGTTTGTGTGTTTTTTTGGTTGCGAAGCAACCTATTACGATCGATTTGACCAGTTTTTTTTTCACATTTTATATTTATTTAAAATATTATTTAAAATAAAATGTGAAAAAATCTGGATGCACTAATTGCTAGCTATGTAATTTGTAGGAGGTACCGTCTGTCAGAATCCCAGTCACTAACCACTGGGATAAAAGGGCTTGTTTAAGTAGCGGGTGAGTGCGCCCATAACCCCCCAGGCCGACGTGCCTGTAACCCTTCCCTAGGATCATCGGGGATCTCCAGTGGACCTCTGACACCCCCCCGCACTGGGATGCCCGAAGTGCACACACCGGGAATCGAACCCGAGACCTTCGCTCTGATACCATGTCAGAATCCCAGCCACTAACCACTGGGATAAAAGGGCTTGTTTAAGTAGCGGGTGAGTGCGCCCATAACCCCCCATGCCGACGTGCCTGTAACCCTTCCCTAGGATCATCGGGGATCTCCAGTGGACCTCTGACACCGTCATACCCCGGATATAAGCGCCACCCGCGGATAAGCGCCTGGCGCTTTTAATCGGCGCCCGGCGCTTATATCCGGTGCTCGATTATAAGCGCACCCCCCTGAAAAAACTTGTTTTATTATAAGCGCACGTAAACTTTAAATTTTGAATTGTGTTCGAAACACTGTAACGATTTCTACTTCAGCAGGGGGATGTGTTGCAGATTCGCTTCCCTTCACATTCGGACCCTGCACTGGATGCGGGACCAGTCAGCAGGAGCAGTCAGGAGCTGTCAGAAGCTGTCAGAAGCTGTCAGGAGCTGTCAGAGTAGGTGTATCTCCAGCGCGCGCGAGAAATTTCACAGAACTTCGACTCGATTGAAAAAGGCTAGCACGAGATCTACAGCTTGGTGTTAAAACATATATAAAATATATATGTCGTTTTATAAACGCCGGCGCTTATAAATTTACCCGATTATAAGCCCACCCCCCCTAAAAAAACCTGTTTTATTATTGCCCCCCATGGGGGTATATCCGGGGTATGACGGTACAGTTTTGTTAATTATAGTATTCTGGTAGTGATTTTTGGAACACAACTACGTTGTCTATGTGCTTTTTGATGTTGTGCTTTACTACCGTACCGTGTAATATGCACATGATATGAAACGATGCATATCGTGATTGGTGAATGTAGATGAATATAATGATGTTATATGAAAATGCATATATTATGTATGTAAAATATAGTATGATATGATATATGAATAATGCTTATTAACGACACATCATAATGCATATATATGATAAAGATGCGTGAAAGCTAACGACCCCAAAACTACGCTACCGCATCCTCTGCCTAGCATGGGGAGCAGGGCTCTGGATATCAGACAAATTTCGTCTGATTGTCTGATATTCAGACACGATTTTTTGTGTTCATATGATTTTCCAGACCAGTCATTTATGTTCGTATGATCTCTCAGATAAAGCATTTTGATTCATCTGAAAAATAAGACTAAGGGCTTATAACTCGTCTGAGTACTCAGACAGAGAGTATGTTTCAATCTTGAAACAGACAAGTACCAAAGCCAGGTCGCACCTGCAGTACGGTAAAAAAAAACAATAAAGTTCACGCGGATCTCTACCTGCTGGATTGACTCAGTCCGTAGTCAATTTTCCGTAACAGTGAAGGGCAGGGTTCGATTCCTGCTGTTGCACAGAATGTTCGGAAATCTAGTATAGTTTTTGTCTGGAAATTCAGACGCGTGTTGATGTTTCATCTATAAAATCAGACCACCGGAGTTTGCTCATATTTCCTTCAGACGAAAATTTTTCTCGTACTTTCATTTCAGACGGGCCAAAAACCTAGCCAGAGCCCTGATGGGGAGGAGCTAATAGCATAATTTTTGGATAATCAGCATTCACATGAAACAACACAATCTGTGAATCCTAAAAAAATGGTCAACTCTATCAGATCCAGCTCAAGTGGGCTCCCGACAGGCGCCCAATGAACCTTCTAATGAAATGATAGACTTGAGCCATTTTTTTAAAACCTACAGACATGCATTATTATTGCAATGATGATATGCTGGCCTCTCGATATCAGGGTGATTCACCCTTATGACCCTTACTATAAGGGCGGGTTTTACGATGCACCCTTTTTTACAAGACTGGTTTTGTTTTCGACCCTTACCAAAAAAAGTGATCGATTGTATGACACTGATATTTCAGAGCTATGTGGTGTAGTAGCACTGATGAAATCGAGTTCGATCTAAGAGAGGATACCAGGATTGGTCGCGTAAAACACATTTCCTACGGTGCATGACCCCGACAGGTATCGAACTTGGGTCCTCCACATAACAACGATGACTCAACACACTGCAACACTAACACCCTACATAGTATGCTCAGCAAAGCTATTCGACAGTTTTGTTTAATTTGTTTGCACCCTGATTTTTAAGAGCAGTTCCTGTGAAGCACCCTTACTGAAAGAGTAACAGCTGGGTGTTGGCCTTACGAGGAAGAGTACCCCAAATCCTATCCAGAGGCCTGATGATATGGATAAATGAAAATGAACAAGTACACGCACACGCACGCACGCACGCATACCAAACGCATCCGCACACGCAACAAAACCAACAACGTAATAAAAATACAAGGCACATGAGTGACACAAATGAACGAATTCTACAAGCCACCACTAGTACGGTATCTTCCAGCTTTCCACATTATGACTTGATTTTTTTAATGTGAGAGCAATCTGAAATACAGAACAAAGGTGAAAAGAGAGAATAGGAGAGAGAGGTGAAGGACATTGATTAAAATTGATGAACGAAGGTCAGAATACGACAAGTCTTAAAAGTGGCACCATACATCGCGACGTGACTATATCTGCGACAATGTACTCATGAAATACAGGTTCAAGAAAGACTTAGAGAGGCGACAACACAGAAATTAAGAGCGGCGATGATGAAATAAGAAACATACGGTAGGAAAGAAAATAGGGCAAACAACATTAGGACGGAAAGGAATGACGACAACGAAAGGAGAAACAACATATTCAGAAATGTAAGCGACAACAATGGAAGGAGAAACGTAGAGAATAAGAGACGTATTACAAGAAGCAAAGAGACGGGGAAACAACGATGTACCTTAGCTGTGAAATTTACAGAGAGAGAACGAGAGAACAAGAGAATGATAGACCAAGAGAGAGAGAGATAACGAGAGCGAGAGAACGAGAGAGAGTGTGTGTGTGAGAGAGAGAGAGAGAGAGAGAGAGAGAGAGAGAGAGAGAGAGAGAGAGAGAGAGAGAGAGAGAGATGGGTCCTTTGCCTCTGCCCTCTGCCCTCTGTCCTCTAGACCTCTGCCCTCTTCCTCCAGCTATATAAGGGCCTCTAGGGCCTTGTTCTTCTCATTATTTCGTTCGGTTTCTGAAATCGGCGCTCGCGCCGGCGGCCTTCGGCCGCCGTCGCTCGCGTGCGCGGCCTGCGGCCGCGTGCTTTCGGAGGCAAGCAACATCAAGCAAGCAA